CGGCTCCAGCCCAGCATACCTGTCCGAACGTATCTCCTTCTACGTCCCACTTCGGAGTTTAAGATCTTCGGGGGAGGCCCTGCTCTCGGCCCTGCTCTCGGCCCCGCCTTTATCACAAGTGAGACTGGTGGGGATGAGGGACAGGGCCTTCTCGGTGGTGGCCCCTCGCCTGTGGAATGCGCTCCCCGGGGAAATTAGGTCATCAACATCCCTCCTCTCCTTCAGAAGGAAGCTGAAGACATGGATATGGGACCAGGCCTTTGGGTAAGCTGGCAGATGGATAAAAAGACAATGGTGACCAGAGTAGGAAAGGACAATGACAATGCTGGATAGATTATGGATTTATGAATTGACGAATGTTGACCACAAGATGATTTTATTGCTGCTGTTGTTTTAATTTGACTGTTTTAATTAGTTATAACTGTCGTCGTTATATTGTAAATTGTATATTGTATTTTGTGAATTGTTGGGCATCGAATTGTACCTTTTGTAAGCCGCCCTGAGTCCCCCCCAGGGGGTTGAGAAGGGCGGGGTAGAAGTGTCAGCTCGCAGCAGCTGTTCCCAAAGACAACACAGGACCTCCATCCTACTGGACACATGAACATACAGAAAGCCGAGATTGAGCAGCAGTGGCTGGTCACTCCTCATATACACACACACCCACATTTGAAATAACAGTTCCCGCCAAGCCAAAACCCTGTGCAATGTTCCCTTCAACAGCCAACCGTCTCCTTCCAAGGTCGCCAGCTGCAGAGTCCTTATCAGGGCCTGATAAGGACTCTGATAAGGACTATGGGAGGAGATCCACCCAATTGGACTGGCGATGGTTTGTGTATGCCCTCAGGAAGAGCCCCAACGTCTGCTGTGTGCGTTCGACTCCCCCGTTTGTCATGGGGTGGAAAGTTGAGCTTAAATTCCTCTCAGGTCCTAACAACTGCATGAACTTCCCCCAAAATCTCGCTGTGAATTGGACCCCCCTGTCACTTATGACTTGATCTGGACACCCATGCAAGCGATAGACGTGTTTTATGAACAGCTCCGCCAGTTTCTCTGCAGATGGGAGTTTGGGCAGTGCAATGAAGTGTGCCTGCTTAGAAAACAAGTCCAGGATAGTCCAGATATAGCGCTGGCCCCTGCTGACCGGGGGTTCACCCACAAAGTCAATGGCGATGGAACTCCATGGCCTCGAGGGGTCCGCTACCTTTTGTAACAGCCCTGTGGGTTTCTGTGTAGGGACCTTGTTTCTGGCGCATGTGTCATACTGAGATACGTATGTTTTGGTGTCGTCCCCTCATCCCTGGCCACCAGCATTGCCGTACCAGAATGCCCTCACTGCGGAAGAAGATGCAGAGCAAGAATAGGGCTCCACAGCCACATACGGACCCACAAGAATATTGGAAGACAATCATCCTCGGAAAGCGAGGGATCGCCTAAGTAAGTAAGTACCAGAAGCTTCGTTGTTTTTGTGACTCCCAAATGGCTCCCAGGGACATACAATTTCCTGTTCACGAACCCCAATCCATCCTTCCACTCCTCTCTTTTCTTGTTTCCTTTGAGCCATTCATCTCCTTGGTATGCTTGCTTCAACTCCTCCTCCCATCCCTCACCCCCTTCGCCTGCTACTCCCGTGAGTTTCTGGCTGCACTCTGTTTGTCCCCAAGTCAACACTGTCATGCCTCGTTCAGAGAGGAGACACCCGCTCAGGCTCCTCTCCCCCCTTCACATTGCGGCATACGGGAGAGCGTATCCGCTAAAACATTTTCCTTCCCCTTGAAGAATTTGAGCTTGAAATCGAACCTACTGAAATACTGTGCCCACCTTATCTGTTTGGCTGACAACTTCCGGGGTGAAGTGATGTATTGTAAGTTTATATGGTCGGTCCACACCTCAAAAGGTACACCGCTCCCCCCAATAGGTGCCTCCAACCCTCTAAGGCCTTTAATATTGCTAGCGCCTCCTTCTCCCAAATTGGCCAATTTCTCTCTGTTTTGGTGAATTTTTTTGACAAGAGCCCACATGGCTTCAACGTGCCCCCGAGTCCCTCTGCATCAATACTGCCCCGTACGCCCAGTCCGAGGCGTCGCAGTGAACTATGAATTGTTTGGCCGTATCAGGATGGGTCAGGATTGGCTCTTCTATGAATCTATGCTTCAGTTTCTCAAAAGCCTCTTGGCATTCTGCCGACCAGACTAACCTTGCCCCTTGGGGACTGCACCTTGGCCGTCTCCCCCCTCCCCTTGGTCTTCAACAACTCTGTGAGGGGCAGAGTGAGTTGGACAAAGTCTTTGATGAACAATCTATAAAAGTTTGCAAATCCCAAGAAGGATTGCAACTACTTGCGCGTTGTTGAGGGTTCCCAATTTTTCACATCATCTACTTTTGTAGGGTCCATCGAGATGCCCTTATGTGAAATCCTATATCCTAGGAAATCTATCTGTTCCTTGTTGAACTCACACTTGGGTAGTTTGGCAAACAGTTTTGCCTCCCTCAACCTCTGGAGCACCTCCCTCACCAGTTTGATGTGGTCGGACATATTTCGGCTGAATATGATCACATCATCTACAAAGCAATAAACCCCACGATACAATAACGGATGCAGCACCTCATTGATCATCTGCATAGATGCCCCCCGGCTCCCCTTAATCCGTATGGGCACACACAGTAGTTGTACAACCCCAGGGCGCAGGAAAAAGCAGTCTTCCATCTGTCCTCTGGTTTAATCCGCAATTTGTGGTAGGCCTCGACTAGGTCCAGTTTCGTAAACACCCTCCCTTCCGAAAGTCTCGATAGCAAATCTTTGGTCAGGGGCAAAGGGTAGCTGGTGGTCGTGCTCACTGCGTTTAGCCCTCTATAGTCTACACACAGCCTCAGGGAGCCGTCCTTCTTTCGTCTGAACAGTACAGGGGCTCCCAAGGGGGATTCAGAGGGTTCTATAAACCCCTGGGCTAAGTTCTTGTCTCTGTATTTTTTTAACTCATCCATCTCTCTGGCCGACATAGGGTATAGTTTGCTCTTGGGGAGGCTAGCGTTTTAATTAAGTTCAATTTTCATCTCTACCCTTCTCTTGGGGGGAAACTTATCAGCTTCCTTTTCGTCAAATACATCTGCAAAGTCTTGGTACTCAGGGGGGGGGATGTCCTGTACCCAGTCTGGTGGCGTACTTTCCTCCCCTCGGCTGCATTCCCCCTTTGGGGCCCCTCGGAAACATAGGCTTCCTTCCCTCCAATCTACTTGTGGGTTTGCCTCCCTCAGCCACGGCATGCCCAAGATTATATTGTACGTTGCCATTTGGGACATGACGAAAGTTACTCCGCCTTCCCAGGCGCCTACCTTGCACCTCACTCTCTCAACTTCGAACCTTTCCGGGACCCCTGATGCCACCGACCCATCCAACTGAGGGAATGCTATGGGGGCCTGCAGGACTGTTTTCTCGCATTTCAGTTCGTCTGCCAACTCAGGGGTCATTATGTTCCTTGAGCACCCACAGTCTATGAACGCTTTACAGCTGGCCCATCTGTCCTCCCCCTCTAGCTTGATAGGGAATACTAGCATTCCTGGGTTGTGACTCACTAGACTCTGTATTGGGGCCTCAGGGGGGATGCCTTCCTCCGCTCTCTTCCCAATAGCTGGCTTTGCTTTGGCCTGAGGGCCCCCTCCCCCCTTCCGCTGCCAACATTCGGCCGCTCTGTGATTTAGACGGCCACAAACAAAACATCCGCTCCGACATTCCACCTTTTGGCTCCCTCCCGACTGGTTCTTTCTCTGGTTTCCTGCTCTCCTCCCTCTGCCGGGCGTTCTGTGGCGTTGATCCCCGATGTCTCCTGACCTGGGCCAGCGTCATCTCGATGCGTTCCGCTAGCTGTATCCACCCGCAGATTGTCTCCGGATCGTCGCGATGTAGCGCCCAGGAGAGTATTTCCTTCCTCTGGCCTTCCTTAAAGATTTCGATTTTAGTGATGGCTGACCACTCGGGCACTTTTTCGGCCAGCGATTGAAACTCCTCCACATATTCCGACACCGTCTCCTGGCCTTGAGATACGGTCTTCAGTCTATCTCTCACTATGACTCGCTCGAGCGGATCTTGGAAGCGCACCTCCAGGGCGGCCAGGAATGCTCTCACCGACCCCAAGAATGGGTCGTGCCTGGCATGGAATTGGACATATCAGCTCGCTGCGCTTCTCCTCAGTGCTGCGCCCACAGCCCGCACCCGGCTGGCTTCCGATCTGAAAGTAGGGGCGTTATCTTCCAAGTAACCCCTCACCATAGTCAGGAAGAAATCAAGGTCTCCAGCTTCTCCTCCGAACTCCACCCGCAGCTCTTCCCTCCTCTGCTGGGGAATGGGTGGTTGCACCTCCCGGGCGCCCGCACGCGTTGGCCCACCCTGGAGCTCCTGCCGCTCTGGGGGCAATCCTCGTAGCCCTGTGCCATGCCCAGCCCCAGCCGGGGCACCAGGAGCGTCGGTTGGGATGTTAGTGTGGGGCCCTTTCACTCGTCTCTGGGCCTCGTCCGGGCCTTGGGGCGCGTTCCGGGGTCCCGGTCGCTCCTTTCGCCCATGCTCCATAGCGACTGCTTAGGGCCGTGGTTCCTCCACCAGAGGGGCTAGGCGCTCCACCAGCCTCGACATCATAGCAAGGGTGGTCTCCATAGCCGCTACCCTCTCTTCCAGATATTCCATCCTCTGGGGGGAGGGGAACTCCAGGTCGCTGCTTCCTCTTGCGGCCTCCCCTTGGGCCTTTCACTCGCCTCTGCGTCACTCCGTTGGGCCGGGCGTAAGCAGTCAATGATGCTAAGACCGTCACTCTTTCCAGCTCTGTCTCTGTGTCTCCAAAAGGCGAGTACTGCACACCTCCCACCGCCCCGAGGAGGGGGTTCTCCTCCGGTGGGATTTCATCTTCATCCATAGTAGCACCTCACCGCGAGCGTGGGATGGTGCAAGGAATCTCGGCTTAAATGTCAGCTCGCAGCAGCTGTTCCCAAAGACGACACAGGACCTCCATCCGTTATCAGCAAAGAACTTTACTACTGGACACATGAACATACAGAAAGCCGAGATTGACCAGCAGTGGCTGGTGACTCCTTATATACACACACACCCACATTTGAAATAATAGTTCCCGCCAAGCCAAAACCCTGCGCAATGTTCCCACCAACAGCCAACTGTCTCCTTCCAAGGTCGCCAGCTTATCAGGGACCCTAGTTTTCAGTGCCAAAACGTCAGGACCCTAGTTTTCAGTGCCAAAACCAAGGGCCTGGAAACAGGATCCTGACATAGAAGCACTACAAATAAATAAATAAATAAATAAATGGTTGCCCATCACTGCCTTAAACCCCAGCTCCATCTGCCTTTCCAGTAGGAGATTTCGCCCTTCCGAATCCCCTTTTCGTAAACATGCATTTCATTAAGAAAAAAGAGAAACATAGTCTGACTACTTAAACTGAATTACAGTGTCACGAAAGGATGTGTGTCTAAAACATGACACCAACATGAAACGTTTGGAAAGCTCTGCCTTAGAGTCTCTCTGGGATCAATGACCACACTTCCCTCCAATGGGAATTCTATGTCTATGGAGACGTCAACTCTCAGGGACGCTCTTTCCACGTGCCATCTCTCAGGAAAACCTGGATTGTGCTTTTCCTGCATGGCAGGGGATTATCGTTATTATATTTATTTATTTCCCACTTTTTCTCTCCATTTGGACACTCAAAGCGGCTCACAAATCAAAAGCGTCACAATACAACTTAAAATATACAAATATTAAAACTGTATTGAACATCATTAATATTTTTAAAAATTGGTCAAATCCATAAAAGCACATGAAGCTTATAAAATCATCGCAGGATTGGATGTCCCATGTCATCTCCTCCAAGATGGGAACGTAGACCTGAACTATAAGCAAAGGTCTTTCCACACTCCATGCATGTACAGGGTTTTTCTCCAGTGTGAGTCGTTTGATGTGAACGAAGACCTGAACTATGAATGAAGCTCTATCCACATTCCAGTCATTTATAGGGTTTCTCCCCAGTGTGTTTCCTTTCATGTTTACGTAGACCTGAACTATGAGCAAAGCTTTGTCCACATTCCTGGCATTTATAAGGTTTCTCCCCAGTGTGTGTCCTTTCATGTGAACGTAGACTTGAATTACAAGCAAAGTTTTCTGACCACATTCCTGGCATTTATAGGGTTTCTCCCCAGTGTGAATCCTTTGATGTGTACGTAGATTTGAACTCTGAGTGAAGCTCTGACCACATTCCTGGCAATTATAGGGTTTCTGCCCAGTGTGAGTCATTTGATGCCTACGTAGATGTGAACGATCAGCAAAGCTCTGTCCACATTCCATGCATTTATAGGGTTTCTCCCCAGTGTGTTTCCTTTCATGTGCACGTAGACCTGAAATCTGAGCAAAGCTCTGTCCACATTCCAGGCATGTATAGGGCTTCTCCCCAGTGTGTGTCCTTTCATGTCTACGTAGACCTGAAATCTGAGCAAAGCTCTGTCCACATTCCTGGCAATTAAAGGGTTTCTGCCCAGTGTGAGTCATTTGATGCCTACGTAGATGTGAACTATCAGCAAAGCTATGTCCACAGTCCAGGCATTTATAAGGTTTCTCCCCAGTATGTGTCCTTTCATGTGCATGTAGACCTGAAATCTGAGCAAAGCTCTGTCCACATTCCTGGCAATTATAGGGTTTCTCCCCAGTGTGAATCCTTTGATGTGTACGTAGATTTGAACTCTTAGTGAAGCTCTGTCCACATTCCTGGCATTTATAGGGTTTCTCCCCAGTGTGAATCCTTTGATGTGCATGTAGATTTGAACACCAAGTGAAGCTCTGTCCACAATCCAGGCATTTATAAGGTTTCTCCCCAGTATGTGTCCTTTCATGTGAACGTAGACCTGAAATCTGAGCAAAGCTCTGTCCACATTCCTGGCATTTATAGGGTTTTTCCCCAGTGTGAATCCTTTGATGTGTACGTAGATATAAACTCTGAGTAAAACTCTGACCACATTCGAGGCATTTATGGGGTTTCTGTACAGTGTGAGTCCTTTGATGTCGATGTAGATGTGAACTATGAGCAAAGCTCTGTCCACATTCCACGCAGGAATAGGGTTTCTCCCCAGTGTGAATCCTTTGATGTGTACGTAGATTTGAACTCTGAGTGAAGCTCTGTCCACATTCCAGGCATTTATAAGGTTTCTCCCCAGTGTGTGTCCTTTCATGTGAACGTAGACATGAAATCTGAGCAAAGCTTTGTTCACATTCCTGACGAGTGAAGCTCTGTCCACATTCCAGGCATTTATAAGGTTTCTCCCCAGTGTGTGTCCTTTCATGTGCACATAGACCTGAAATCTGAGCAAAGCTCTGTCCACATTCCTGGCATTTATAGGGTTTTTCCCCAGTGTGAATCCTTTGATGTGTACGTAGATTTGAACTCTGAGTAAAACTCTGACCACATTCGAGGCATTTATGGGGTTTCTCCCCAGTGTGAGTCCTTTGATGCCTACGTAGACTTGAACTATGAGCAAAAGCTCTGTCCACACTCCAGGCAGGAATAGGGTTTCTCCCCAGTGTGAGTCTTTACATGTTGCTGCAGATCATGCCTCCGAGTGAAGCTCTTTCCACACTCCAGGCATTTAGACGCTTTCTCCTCCATGTCAAGAATGATACGGGTGTTTAATTCCAATACAGAGACTTGACTCTTCTTTATTCCTTTGTTCTCTGTAAGTGAAGTCAAGAATTCAGCAAGATCATCGCCTCGAGAGGATTTCTTCTCCCTGTATTATTGGTTTCCTTACTGCATCCAAGAGGTCGTTCCAAAGACTCTTCACTTCCCTGGTGAAGAAAGAAGCAAAAGATCAATGTAATTTTGATGTTGATGTTGCTGTTTGTTGTTTATGCTTTGATTTTATTGCTGTAATATGTTGTCAGGGCTTGGGGAGATGGGGAGATGGTGGCGGGGTATAAATACAGATTATTATTATTATTATTATTATTATTAAAAGGAATGGAAGGCAGGCAGGCCGGGAGAAAGGAGCGGTCCTTGGCAAGACTCAAGGGCTCCATTCGCTGGATCATGCGTGTCCCTGAATGACCAGGAATGGGCTCAATGCTCAGAAGGGACACCAAGATGGCTGTGCTGCCTCCCTTCCCATCACGAGTCCCAGGTCTGCTTTCTGGGCATTCCAAATGGGCAAAACATCAGGAGAGAATGTTTCTAGAATATGGCCATACAACCCAATATCAGATCTGGAAACTATCCTAGACAAGGGGGAAAAGGCTTAATAGCCAGACGATACAAATATTTCCTACATTACAACTTGTAAGATAATCATGTTAAAACCTCCAAGATCTCATGGGCAAAAGATTTAGGGAGAAGCGTAGGTGTTGACATCCGGGAAAACAATCTGTGGAACAATGGATTTAAATTGACAGTGGCAGCTTCAATCCGAGACCATGTCTATGTAACGCTACACAACCCCAGCCCTCCTGGCCAAATTGGACCAAACACAAACAGGTTCCTGTTGGAGGTGCCAAACAAAGGAAGGGACTTTCTTTCATGTCTGGTGGTCTGGTGAACTGGTGCAGGTCTCTTGGGAAAGAATAATTCAGGAAACAAGTAAAAAAGACCAACAACACCCCAGGGATGTGCCTATGAGGGATATTCAGAGACAGATTAGAACAAGCAGACCGAGAGAGATTTGTTTGTACAGCTTTGCGGCTGCAGACATTACAATGGCCAAAGATTGGAAAGGGGAGAAAACATTAAGCATCAAAGGTTGGAAGGATAACCTGTGGGATTAAGCACAGATGGCTAAGATTTCTGGCAATTTGAAATATGAAAATCATGAAATATTTGAAAGGAACTGGAAGCTGGCCTTAGCGTACTTGACGGGAGA